TATATCCATATATATATACATATATATACATATATCCAACTCTACTGCGCGAAGACGCATTTATTTAAACGTGATACCGTTATGGTTTGTTATCGCAAGGAACGGAAGGAGAGTTAGGTTTCAATCAAACACACAATCATACGAGCGTGGGCGTACGCCACCTCCGCGTTTATTTCTTGTCTGCCGATGGATACTAGCAGTATGCAGCACAATATACAAAGTAATGTTTACTTAATTGATACCTTTTTAAAAACTATTAAAACTTTATATATCTCCAAATCTTCCTTTAATCGCTTCAAATTCAGCAAATGCAATTTTACTCGATCCTTCAAATTCTCCACTTGTTTTTGTTGATGAACTTTGAAACGTTTATCACGCTTATTTCTTCCGACCGTTGTTGCACTGTTTTGAATTATTTGAATATGATTATTATTGTGACGTTGGATTTTGAATCTAATGTCTCTCCTATTTCTTTCTGCTGTTGTGGTTGCACTGTTGTTTTGAAATTCTTTAACATCATTCATTTTTCCACATAAACTATATTCACACAACCACTAAACTGAAAGAAGAATGGATAATTCCCATAGCTGAGTTCACAGCTTTATAAAGGTGCCTTTAGGAGATCTAAGGGGTCTGAGGTGTTAGGGACTTACGTAATGAGTCACAATCTAAAAATAGTTGTGACTCATCAATCTAAAAATAACTATGACTCATCGAATGCTGACTCATCAATCTAAAAATATCCATGACATCATTATTTAAATAGTCATGACATCAGGGTAAAATTTGTGGTAGGGGATTCCCGGAGATTACCTGCTTTTCTAATGTTTTAACTCAATACTTTTCGAAAATGAATGAAATAAATATGCCAACTATTCATACTTTATTCATTAACAATTTAACTATGATAGCATCAATAAGCAACAGCTTTTTCATTCTCAACACAATGCCCATTCCAGTGAAATTTGTGTGRCCCAAATGTAAAGGAGAAACGAAGATTGAAGGAAGAAATTGTCTGAACTGTGAAGTAGAAGATTTTTTAAAAATGTTAGGGC